TTTTGCAGGTTGCAGCTGTTTCATTAAAAAGAAGGGGGGGGGGGGGGAACCCCATTTAAACACGGACGGTTTAGCCCGGCCCGTTTAATGGGGATTAAACGGGCTCCTACTAGGCTACGAGCTAGCCTGAACCCATCTAACTGTAAACGGGCAGTAGGGAAAAAAAAAATTTAACATGGGCAATGTGAGAATAAGTTATAAGGACTTGTAAACAGGACCGGAGTGGTATTGTTTTTCTTGGCCACGATATGTATAATTCTTGAATAAATGTTTGCTTGATTATTGTCTTTCACGGGTTCTTGATTGTGCCTTTTATTTTAATATTTTTTAATAGAACATTAATGTTAGTTCAATAATATTGTGAATATGGTTTAATTCTAAGCATGCTTCCGGAAAAGAAAGTGGGGAATATATGCCAAATCTTAAAAAACAGCGCGTTTGGTTGCATTGCGTACTATTTAGGCGCTATCTATTTGATCAAGTTTCCAAGGCTATTCGTATATACCGATTACAGACTGTTTCACTTCAGTGGAGCATAGGATGGGAGAGGCAAGTAAAGATGATGTTTTCGCATCGGTTCACTCCACTGTATTCAAAGAATCAGAAAGCCTGGAAGGAAAAATCCGTCAAAATCGAGGGCTACGACTTTAATCAAGGTGTGAATTATCCACAGCTTCTTAAGTCCTTTGTCACCACTGGGTTTCAGGCTTCCAACCTTGGAGATGCTATACAAGTCATTAATCAGATGGTTCGTTTTGCTCCGTGGATACCACCTTGCCTGTTTTACTCCTACCTCTTTATTTATTTTGTTCTCTTGAGACTTCCCTTTAATTCTTACAAATTTTTCATTTGTGTCCTTGGTAAATTAATTGGAGTGAAGCTAGATTGGAGTCTGGCTGATGAGGCCATAACGGAGGATTGCAATGAGGAGGAAAAGGACTTGTCCTACAGAAAATCTGTTAGATGTAAAGTTTTTCTGGGCTTTACTTCTAACCTTATCTCGTCTGGTGTCAGAGATACAGTTCGGTACCTTGTTCAGCATCAGATGGTGAGTTTCTTTGGTGTCTCTGCATGTAGCAGGGAATTTAGTTCCCCCAGTTTGGATTTTGTATTGCAAAATTGGTTTTGAGGTGGCGTGTTGACCTGTCTTACTTTTTCATATCTTGTAGGTTTAGATACTCAACTCATACTATGATCTATCTAGAAAGCTTGGAATGGATTAAGATTTTTTGGACATGAACCTTTTAGATATTATGATACATCTATTCTGCAGGTTGATGTAATTGTTACAACAACAGGTGGCATAGAGGAAGATCTTATAAAGTGCCTTGCACCAACTTATAAAGGAGATTTTTCTCTACCAGGAGCCTATCTTCGCTCTAAAGGATTAAACCGTATTGGTAACTTGTTGGTCCCTAATGACAACTATTGCAAATTTGAGGATTGGATCATTCCAATTTTTGATCAAATGTTGAGGGAACAAAATGAGGAGGTATTCCTTTTCATGCCTGTGTTTCAATGCATTATGGATTCAAATAGTACAGATTTTTTCTGGATCTAAAGCTACATTCTTCCTAACATGTTCGCTCATCCACAGAAATGTTTCTACTGTGACTTTCTACTTCCTTTTGTCAGTTAATTTTTCTCTTTCTATTATTATTAGAACTAGGGCATGCGTGGTTTGTACTTTTGAAATCATGATTTGTTCATTATTTGTGTCCTTTTTTGGAAAGATTTGCGCCTGTTCTTACTTGTTTGTGTGTGTATATATTTCATTTTTCTGTCTTATTTACCTTGTCCTTATGTGTTTTCAGCATGTAACATGGACACCATCGAAGTTGATTGCTCGCTTGGGAAAAGAAATAAACAATGAGAGCTCCTATCTTTACTGGGCATATGTGGTAAGCTTGAGATCATGCTTAGATCTTCTATAATTAATGCTGTTGCTCAATCTTTTTCTGATTTAAGTATTTTATTTTTCTATTACACATCTTATTTTCCTCATTTACATTGCATTTAGCCTTTAGATGACTTGCAATGGAGGACGCAAAAGACAGGGTATAATTATTTGTCTGCCACAATATAAACCTTGAATCGCTTGGATTCAAATATAAATTCCTGTAAATTGAAATATATTTTTCATTGCTTGGAAAATGTGCTATGGAAAAGAGATAGAACTACGAGGTGAAATTGAAAAATGTAACTAGAGGTGCACTTTGCTTCTTGCATTTATACACAGGTCCGTGCACGTTCATAGATGTGCGGTCATACAGATGAAGATATGCCATTTAGTTCAGTGCAGCTTGCCATGAAACATTTTTCGGATGCCATTAGCACCTAATTACCTCACTTAGGCCATACGGGGCTTGTTATTAGGTGATATTCTGCTTTAGGGCTCACAATGTTTAACACTTGAAGCTAATTTGTCCTTGTTTTGTCTTGTGTCATCTCATTTGCATCAAATTAGTTTTACATGGAACTTAATGTTGCAACCATGCCTCAATGACCTAAGAATATACCGAGCCTTGTGATAAAATTACATCATACCTTTTACTGTCAGTATTCTGTGCGTTGTGTATTCACAGATTGAAACCTGGTTACTCTGCTATTTTTCTGCTTCATTAAACATTGTTCTAGAATATAACCCTTAATATCTTTAACTTTTGATGGATGTTTTGCAGAACAATATTCCAGTTTTCTGTCCAGGCTTAACAGATGGCTCATTGGGGGACATGCTGTACTTCCATTCCTTTCGAAGCCCTGGCCTGATTGTGGACGTTGTGCAAGGTATGATTTTCATTATTTCAACTGCATGAATGGTTGCCTATGGTATGGTAGTACCATAATATAATTAACAATTGGACAGATATTAGGGCCATGAATGGTGAAGCTGTGCATGCAAGTCCAAGGAAGACAGGCATGATTATTCTTGGAGGGGGGCTTCCCAAGCATCACATTTGCAATGCCAATATGATGCGCAATGGTGCAGATTATGCAGTTTTCATAAATACTGCGCAGGAATTCGATGGGAGTGACTCCGGGGCCAGACCAGATGAGGCTGTTTCATGGGGAAAAATCCGGGGATCTGCCAAGACAGTCAAGGTGCATGTTCTGTATATCCTTATGACTGCTTGTTCCCAAATTCCACCAGACTTCTGCCATTAAGTTCTTCAGTTTTAAAAAACTGCTTTTATTTCATTAAACAGGTACATTGTGATGCAACTATTGCATTCCCTCTTATCGTTGCTGAAACATTTGCCACAAGAGGGAAACCTCGCTGAAGTACATCCAGATCTGAACATGTCCTTATCCCCTCATGCCTCAACACACATCTTTCTTGCTTGTTCAAAATATAAAATATCACGCACACACTTAGTCAACAAGGGGGAAGCCTGATCTGATTTTCTTCTCTGATATGAACCTCTATTCCCTATCGTCAGTTGATGTTGCCGTACAGAGAAATCACTGGAGATGGGGTTTTGACCTCTTACCCGCTGAGATCAGATAGCTTCTTATTTATTTATTTTTATGCAAGTCTCCTCTCTCTCTCTCTCTCTCTCTCTAAAGAAACACATTAATAGGACATTAACCTTTGCCCTTATTGAGGATTGGCTCATTCTCTGGGAGCAGTGGTTCAAAGTTGGCTTTGTCACCTGCAGAGGAAAGTTTGAAACGTTGCTAGCTGGATCTTGTTTATCCCTATGTTTTGGTTCTTCCCAATTGTTTCCTAGTTTGTCTTTTTTAGTTTTTCAAGCTCTAGCAGTTGCTGTCAACAGCCTCTGGAGTTTTGTTTGCTGAGTTAAATTTCTTGATGTGCCAAGAGAGAGGGATATAGGGCGATCTTGATCGATTTGTTGGCCAGTGGGACAACCCTTAACCACTTGAAAGCAGATAGAGAGAAGACCATGTAAACTAAATCGGGTGCGACAATAGGAAATATTGTTGGTACTCTTATTAAATGGCTTCTATATAAAGTCAGAGATTTTATCATCAAGATCTCTCCGAATTTATCATTAGTTTATTGACAGGTATTATGCGACCAGGATATGCAAAAAGAGGGAGCAAAATAAGAGCGAATCTAATTGCAATTGAGGTTGAGGGGAAGTTCCAACGCCTTTGTTTTGGATGTAGAGACTGCCAAACAATTCGTGTAAAATACCACCTAGGTTCCAAATATAAGATCTCCAAGTGAATTTTATATTTAGGACCGTAAGTGCTATTTAAATATCATTTGCATATATAAAACATTATATAACACCGAGAGAATATAATGATTTTTTTAAGGCTTGAGGCTTAGTGCTGCAGTGACCGTGTTTAGGATTTCAGCGGGTTAAATTTAGGGAGAGTTTGTTGTTTTTCCGGTTTGGCACTGTAATGATGCGTTATTTGCATTGGAAGTTTGCAACTTCATTACGTAACTACGCAAGTGAAAATGTAAGGTGAAAAATTCCGTAAGTGAAAATGTAAATATTTAAATAATAAAATAGTGTCCACGCAGCCACTTTTGTATTGCTAAATAAAAAGGAAGAAAAAGACCATATTTTTTCGCTCCGCTGGTTCCTTTCTAGGAGAATTTTTTCAGAATTTTCTTGATCCTGTAAAACATAAAATCTTTTGTCTTGCGTATTTATTAAAATTTTTCTTTTCTACTCTTAGTAAAAAGAGTGTTTATTAATAAAATTAACTATTTAAAGCCATCAGCTGATCATTAAATGAAAATATTTTGGAAATAAATTTGAATTTTTGTTATATTTATTAATCCAACTAATTTTAACTACTTTTTTCCGTGACAATTTTAACCACCTTTTTTTGTATTATTGAGAATTAGTTGCCGAAGATTAAAACAGGGTAGGGCGGGGTTCCGGTAAAAAAAAAAAAAAAGGGGGGTGGGGCAGGGAACAACACTGCTCTAGTCTGCTTGCTCAAAGAAACGACATCGTTCGATTAGGGCATCGAAAATGCCGTAACATGCTGCCCTAGCTTCCTTTTACCATTTCATACACCAGCACTATACTGCAATTTCCCGCCTGGGCCTCATTTCCCGCTCTGTCAACCCTAACTCCTCAGCTGGGTCATAGCGAATGGGGCAGAAGAAGCTATCGACTTCGGATCCCAGCAATGAAACGAAGAAGAAGCGGCGAGTTGGCTTCTCCGCTGTTGGTAAGTGTACTTGGTACTGAGTCCTTGTTTCTTTTAATTTCTTTTATTTTCTTCTTCCTCATTTTTTGGTCTTGTTACTCTCGCTCGACATTTTACTCTTGCTCTTTATGTGGATTTTATTATCATGTTTTTTGCGCTTGCATGATCAAATTTCAAGCTCACAACAAAATTTTCAATTCGCATTGTGCAGATGCTGGAGTTGAAGCCAAGGAGTGCATAAAAATCTTTCTAGGTGTGGAAATTCTTCCTATTAACGACTATTCATGATTCTTATCCCTTATCATGCTGCTGGGCAGCTTCTGACTATGTCTCTCATTGACTCTATTTTTATTAGATTATTATACATTAGATATTTGATGCTATTAGTGGTCGTTCGCAATCTCTTTCCCGTGGGCTATACATGTTGTTTTAATTTATTTCCAATTGTATTCCTTCTTGCAGTGCTGAGAATAGATTTTTCAGTATTATAAGTGACTAGGATGGCAGGACGACGTAAGAGCGTTTTGCATGAGCTACATTCTTTGCTCATATTGTTCAGGAGAGTTGAAGGATAGTGTCTCTTTGGAAAAAGTTCGAACTATCTAGTATTTGAAACCGACATGTTTTGACATGACCTGTTTCATATCATTCACGAAGTCGTACTGGAAAAAAAACAAAGAAATCAGTTAAATATTTGAGAAGCTGATTTCTGGCTTATGCCCAGCCCATGAGTATAGTGTTATTTCTGGGTCTTGCATACTCCTCTGTTTGAGTTGCTTGTGAGGCTTGTAGGCCATATTTTTGTTTGTTGTCTTCCTTTCACTTACTGGATGTTATTTTCTGCTACTTTTCCTGTCACTAAGCTTTACCATTCTTGGTTTACTAATGATTTGATCTAGCTAATCTGTTCACTCATGTGGCATTCTTTTCCTTTGATTGCCATGTTTAACTTCCTCCCTTGTATCATTCTTGTTGACATGTCATGGTAATTCTTTGATGTAACTTGCATATTCTTGTGGGACCTGGCATTGTTGTATAGTTTCGAGCAAAGAGGAATTTAGCACTCCAGAGAACTTTGTCATTGACCCTGTGGACTTGAATAGTTTTTTTGATGATGATGGGAAAATCTATGGTTACGAAGATTTGAAGGTAATGATTGTTATAAACAAGCCAGAGATACATTTGCACATGATCAAAATTGAATAGTCTACAGTGTCTCTCTCTTCTTTTTTTTAAAGTTCTGTCTGTTTTGTTCTTACAGATCACTATCTGGGTTAGCAGCGTGTCCTTTCATGCCTATGCTGATATTAAGTTCCAGAGTTCATCTGATGTAAGTGCTGACTCTTTCCTCCTCCTCCTCCCTCCAAAATTGGGGGGGTTTGAAGGGGAGAGAAAATTTTGTCCAATGTTTACTAATGTACCCACAATTCTTTTTTTTTTAATGTTCTGTAACTGTCCATACCTAAAATTAGTGGTTCTCCCTCTTCTCTTACTTCTAGGCTCTCTCTTCCATGTTTCTCTTGCCAACTAGGTTGTTCAGCAACATGACAGAGAAGTGGTTTTTTAGTTGTTTAGTAGTCTTAAGTTTCTCTTCCCAGATTTTATTTTATTTTTTTTCTAAAAGTTTGAAAATCTGATTCTACAAATATAATATTTTTGTCCTTATATAATTAGCTAATATTATCTGTTACAATTAATGTAAGGGCATATTTGTCCTTATATAATTAGCTCCCTCCCTTCCCCAACCAAACAAGTGGTCATTAAGGTACTTTTCTTCCTTTCCCCTCCCCTCCCTCCTTTGAACCAAACACTACGTAAGTAGCCTGTCAATTGAATCCCTTGAAAAAGACTTATGTCACGCATGCTAAGAGACTTAAATCATTGTGTTAGTATTCTATAATTCATGGAATTCCGAATTGAGTCATCATAGAGATTTATAGGTTGATGTAATAGTGCAATCTACAATTTGGAGAAGCTGTACTGTGAATCTTGTGAAGCTATTTTCTCCATGAATTCAAGGACATAAATATAACGGTATTGTATATTTTAGTGATTTGTTCATGTATGTAAGTTTAATCCTTCTATATTATTTTTTTGATATGAAATCTTTTCTGTTATAAAAGCATCAAATTATGAAAGAGGAATACTAAGTTGATTATCAGCAAGATTCTTACAATAAACTATGTGAACAATACTTTTAGAAATATTAATGCATAGACACACCAAATGCCAAAGATTCTTTTCAATTTGACCTGCTCTTTTTTCTCTTTTTTCTTGCTGCTTTTGCACATTCTTTTCAAATTTGTTATTTGGTTTGTTTTACCTTACTAGAATTTTGTTTTTCTCCTCTTGTTTAATGTCTTTGACATCTTCTGTTGAATGTGCTGTTTTATTTGTTAAAGAGAGGAAAAGGAATCACAGATCTGAAATCTGCTCTTCAGGTATGCTTCAACTTCCATTTGGCATCATTGATTTTATACCTTATACGTCTACTCAGATTAGTATTTTTTTTTTTTTTGGAAATAATTGATAATGTTTTTATTTGACAGAGAATTTTTGCTGAGACTCTTGTTGAGAGCAAAGATGAATTTCTGCAAACATTTTCAGCAGATAAAGATTTTATTAGGTGTTTTATATTTTCTCAGTTTTCCACTTTTCAATTTTTTGCTACTTCTTTTTTTAAGTTTTCTGATCTATTATTTAATAATTAATTGGTTTTTGTTTTCCTAAGTTGCACATTCCCTGGATGTTTTGCAGGACAACCATCTCAAATGCAGAGGTTTTAAAGAACAAAGCTTTAAATGGCCATGTTACTCATTCTAATTGTCATGCTGAAGCAGCTGCTTTGGATTCCGAGGTGGTAATTTATGTTTTGGCTTAGTGCATTGTATGATAATTGGAAGATGTTCAATTGCTTACATGCTACGCTGTAACTTCTGTTATGAAAAATCTACATCAGGATCCCAATACCAGTATTTTCTGAGCTATCTTGTGATTGAATTAGTGGGAACAATATAACTTTTATAGTGCTTCTAAGTTGTAACTTAGGCCGAGAGTTAACCAGTTCACTGTGCATTCTGTTGTGTTTCAATTAAACTAACTACTTATTTGTGACCATTAGTGTTTCTACACATGGAGCAGTCTTTCGGGTGTAATGGCAAATTATCCATTTCCCCTCCTTCTATTTGCGTTTTTTGTGTTTTCTTTTTATGATATGTCATTAACTGGCTGTCCTCTGCATATATGTTTGTGTTTTGATATTGTTGCTATCCCTTGATATTGCTATGCTTCTGAAAACCCTGCTTATCATGCAAAATTTATGGGACCAAATGCCACACTTAATTCTTTTGGCATGCCTAGCTTGGGCCCATGAGATAATAACTATTTTCTAAATTTGTACCTTAAAATTCCGAATCAATCATGCTTTCAATGTTTCTTTCAGCCTCATTGCCATTAAATATCTTATATATACACATCTATGTACAAGGATATATTCTGAAATTTTCTTTTGGATCTTTTTGAGCCAGGTTGTCCGTATGGTTGCAGGCAGCATGGCTACTGGGCACCTTTACAGTCGCCTAATACCCCTTGTTCTCCTTCTTGTTGATGGTAATGATTACCTATTTTGGTGTTCAGAGCTTTGCTTTTTGCAAAAATTTATGCTACGTTTTATTGTTATTGTAGCCTAGAATCCTTTTTAATATTCCTCACACAGGGAGTAGTCCTATTGACGTCACTGATCCAAGATGGGAACTCTATCTCCTGATTCAGAAGAAAAGTGATCAGCAAGGAGAGACCCAATGCAGACTTATTGGTTTTACTGCTGTTTATCGATTTTTTCACTATCCTGATGGTTCTCGATTGCGTCTAAGTCAGGTTTGATGTATCCTTTTTACTATCAGTTACACGACAGCCTCTGTCAAGAGTGCTCTCAAATTGTTCTGTCTTCTGATAAGACCTTCTGATGGCAGATACTTGTATTGCCTCCCTACCAACACAAGGGTTATGGTCGGTCTCTTCTGGAGGTGCTAAATAATGTTGCCATATCTGAAAATGTTTTTGACTTTACTGTAGAAGAGCCATTAGATCACTTCCAGCATGTTCGCACTTGCGTAGACACACTTCGCCTGCTTCATTTTGACCCAATCCAACATACTGTTTCTTCCGCTGTTTCATTTCTAAAGCAAGGAAAATTATCCAAGAAAGTGCACTCTCTTCGGCTCTTACCACCCCCAAATGCTATTGAGGATGTTAGGAAAAGCCTGAAGATTAACAAGAAGCAATTTCTCCAGTGCTGGGAGGTGTTAATCTATCTGGGCCTTGACCCTGCTGAGAAGCACATGGGAGACTTCTCGAGCATTATTTCAAGCCGAGTCAAGTATGATATCCTGGGGAAAGATTCTGGAACTTCTGGGAAGCAACTTATTGAAGTACCATGCGAATGTGATCCGGAGATGTCTTTTGTCATGTTCAGATCAGCAGCAAACGAATCTAGTACTGTGCAGATGGATGACAATCAGAAAAATCAGGAAGAGCAACTCCAGAAGTTGGTACAGGAGAGGTTGGATGAGATTAAGTTGATTGCTGAGAAGGTAACTCTGCATCGTGTAAAGTGTTAGGTTTCCTAATCATGCAGCTACTTTACACTCTTCTTAGTTAGGGGGTAGTTTCATGGTTCAATGGGCTTCGGTTTCTTGTATTGTTTGTGTAATTTCGTGAAACGGGTACAAATTGAGCATCTAACCATGTTACCAGAATTGAATGGGTGCTTGCAATAGACAATATTATGCCTTTAATGTTAGACATTTGGGATCCTAATATTAGTATTGTAATGTGATCCGTTAATGACACTGATTACACTAGTGCATGGTGTTTCAGTGCCTGATATAGTATTCTGGTTTTAAATATAAAACTCATTTTATAGTGTAATGTAAATTTTATTATGAAATGGGTCTTACATTTAGGAGTTGAGGAGTATCAAATATTCTAGTAAATTTAGTTATTACTAAGCATGGAGTTCCTAAGATGCAATAATTTAATTTTTATGAAGTCTATAATTACAATGTTTCAAGTAAAATTACTGGACCAGGAATGAACTCCGAGGTAATGACTTTAATTTGGAAGTGCGTGTTAATATGCGGAATGGTTTGCCTCGGAATGCATTTGGAAGATGAGCAGCATGTCTTAAGCTTCTGTTCCCTAGGGTCTTCTAGTCTTTTTCTCAAGCTCTAAGCTTGGAGTTGTATTTCAGGAAAACAAAAAAAAACAAAAGAAGAAAAATAGAAGTGCGTATTGACACTCGCCGTATGATGCCAAACTGTAAGATGACAAAATGTTATATTTAGCATCTCGAGGAAAAATTCTACATTTTCTCAAATATAATTTGCCTTTATTGGCTGAAAGGCATTTAGGAGGTGTTTGGTAACCTTTAAAAGTGCTTCTTAGAAACACTTTTCTGCAAAACGAGGCAAATTCCTTCACATATTTACTTCGTAAACCCTAAAAATACTTCTGAAACCATGATTTGGTTTCTATCCAAACACCTCTTTAATAAACAATCAACCAATCTTGATATGATGCTTTCTTTCTTTCTTTCTTTTTTTAAAAGAAAAAAGGGCAAGCAAAAGCTTGAGAAAATGAAGAGGTAGAACAGACTCCTAATAAACACGTATTTTTTTTTTCATCAAGAAAAGTTTAGGTGAAGTAAGTTCAGGGTTTATTAGGGTTAATGTATGCCTCCAAATTTAGAAAGCATTTATAGAAATACTTATATATTGCCCACTAATAAGATTCTTATATTAGTAATGGGATTTGAACTCATAAGCTCATGGCTTATGAATTAACTCTTTTAACACTTGTTGGCTCCTAATAAACATACGTAGACTCAACACAACTGATTCATTATGTGCCAAAATTATGCCTAAAGTAGCCACTCGCCACAGACGGTGCCTACACCATCTTAGATGTAATTAGTGCTTCTGGTAATATCATTGGACGTGAGGTTTAGCTCCACAGCCCTGTGATCATAGAGCATGTCTCTATAATAAGGGATCGTAATGGATGCTCAAGTTCACGATATCTTATCAAGGAGCATCTAAAAGAGTGGGTATATATTTATAATCCGATCACAGCCTGTTCGTGTACAAGCTTGAAATCATGTTTTGATGGATGGCCACCAATTCGGCTTCTGCGACCAATATCTGCATGGAAGCTCATCAATCACCCTTGTCATCTCGAAGAACTCCCCGACATGCCGTTCGTTGGTGCCAAACTAAACCATCAACATGGTGGCGTTCAACTCCAGGACTCCTCCAACAGCACTCACCTCGGGAGAATTTGATGCTTACTTGCATTTAGATTTTTTTTTTTGGGACAGAATTACCTGCATTCAGATTGACTCAATAAGTAAATTGCAAATGGTTTTTGCAAATTTGCAATAGCTTAGATGGTCTATAGATTTTAGGGATAGATTAAAAATCACATTAATGTTATATAGGGAAAAAGTAGTACTACTTCCGGTCCTTAATATAAGAGCTAAATTAACCTTTAATTTGGTCCTAAATATATAGGACTTCAATCCACTTTATTTCTCATATTTATCCATTTTTTAAAAATAGTTCTTGTAGTAGTTGTACATGTTAAATGTTCTATTAAATGATAATTTTAGTTAATGCACATGATTAGTAAGGGTATTTTAGGGAAGGTAACATCTATTTATTACAAATAACTAACTTAACAAACTTTCTTAATCTACTCAAATTAATCAACTGGCTCTTATATTAAAGACTGCGGAGATAGTATTACTCACTTCATAATTCATTTTATCATATTTATAATTCTAAATTGAGTCTTTCTTTTACAGGGGTTACATTAGGTTATTGAAAAAGTTCAACGTAAGCTGAGCACATGTTAATCTTGTCAAGCCTATTTTAGTAGCTAGTGTAAATCATGAATTGTGCATAATGTAATACGTGATAATTATAGTGAAAAATTGAATGCATGAATATAGAAATACAGATATCTTCCTAAAAAATAATTAACCATCTAAATAATTAAAACGTGAAATGTAATCAAATTATCACCATTAAAACGGTATTTATTTATTTTCCCAACTTTTATTATGTGGCCGAATAAAGTAAGATGCAGCCTATTGGGCCTCAAAACCCAGCTAGTCGTCGATAAAATATCCTCCGCACTCCAGAGCCCAAATCAATCAAAAACCCAGCAGCTTCTATTTAAATGGAAGAAAAACCCTAGATCTCGTTCTTCCGGAGATACAGGGTTTCGCGGCTTCTTCATCGTTGCTTGTTTCAGGTGTGAGGTCGGGAGCAACTCGTCAGCGCTATGGGTAAGCTCAAAGATGCATGTAGTTTGAAATGCCAAGGTTTCGGTGTTGTTGATTTGTCATTCGATTGGCGGTTTTGATTGTGATTGCAGGTAAGGTGCATGGATCTCTGGCTCGTGCCGGTAAGGTGAGAGGCCAAACTCCTAAGGTTGCGAAGCAAGACAAGAAGAAGAAGCCCCGCGGCCGCGCCCACAAGAGGATGCAATACAACCGCCGCTTCGTAACCGCCGTCGTCGGTTTCGGCAAGAAGAGAGGACCTAACTCATCGGAAAAGTGATCCATTAGTTCAGTGATGGTTTTTCTAAATTTTGTCGGGTTGGACTATATATTACTAGTTAAATTTTTCGTCCTGCTCATGTGAACCCGTTTCATTCTTGTTTTGGATCAAATATTCGACGTGCTCTATTGAAATCGGTTTTAGTTTCCATTTATCTGGCCTATTTTTATTTAGTTTTCTCTGTCCTGTTGTACTTCCTCACACTCTTAACTGGTTTGTGATAGTCGTTGAAACGTTAAAAAAATTGATATAATCCAAATTTAGGCATTAATCTGAGTTTATAATTGAGTTTTCATTTCGGGATTATGGAATTCTGTGCTGGAGATAAAGTGTGTGCAGTGGTGTACTGGACACGAAGGGTTTTTTCATGTTTCTGTCGCTCTGGAAGATTGATTCTACATGCTATGCATGATTGTTGAAAGCCAAAGTGGACTATGTAAATTTCTAAATTAGTGACATAATGGCAAAGCGCATATCAATGTGATACCCATTATGCTTAGCGGCAAGAGGTGAGAACTGAGGTATGGTGTTTAGAATTTAGAATTGGTTTTCAATAGACAATTCAGAGTCAGTTTATTAGTCTTGTGATAAAGATTTGCACTATTCTGGACCGTAGAGGAAACTCCCACTTTCATTGAGCCGGTGATGTAGGCCTTCTTTGTTTGTACAGACCCTTTGCTTTATTAGAATTTCAGTGAATCTTGAACACAATGACCTGTATTTGAAACCGTGAACTTTTAGGCCACAAGGAATCGATCAGGATGAGAAAGGTATTCGTATTTTGGTGGGTGCTTGTTTGCGATGGTAGCTTCATATAATTTCTAGCCTCTTTCCTTTCTCCCTAATGCCATGTCATATTTTGCTTTGCAATGTTTAGACTAGGGAGAATCAGTCCTAATGTAGAATGTGGTCTGAACCTTTACTCAGCTTTTGAGAGTGCTATGAAAGATGTACATTTTCTTGGTAAAAAAACCTGTGGCTAAAGCTGAGCTGGATTTAGATCAGCTTGACCAAGGTAGGCCTGGTCTGATCTGCTCGCCCATTAAATTTTTTCGCCCTCTTATTTTAACGCTTATTTTCAACCCGACCTGATCCACTTGAATCTAGATTTTCTTGTATTAATAGCCTCAGTAGTTGAAATCATATGGAACTAGTGATAGCACTTTCAGGTCAAAAATAAAAATTAGTGTATTCTGTTTAATCCTGGATTTTTAATTTAGAGCACACCTGGGAATGCGTTTTAAACTGCATATAGTTGTCCTTTAACAAGTGATGATCTTCTGCGTGGCATTTCTTTGTGGGTATTTGATCCTTAAATTTTTTAATTGAATATAAAATGGTTACAAATTTTAATGTAGTCATGCAGTCGTCAGACTCCATTCCATCAGTATTATTTTTTTTTCTGCTAACGAAGAATGCTCGTACTTTAAATCCCATCTTATTTGGAATTAGATAGTTTGAGAGAGAATGTTTGTGTATTAATACATGTTCAAAGGTTAAAAAGACTACGGGATTTCTTTCTTCTGTCTGAGTGGCAGAAATTTGTTTCTTTGTTTTTTTTTTATATACTGGAAAATACTTAAACAAAACAAAACACCGAAGTAAAACAAAACACTCTAATCTCCTGTGTCTTCTTGAACGAGACGCATGACGGCTTCCGGACTCAATTTGCAAACCCACGCTGTTAGCAAAAGCATGCTTCGCCATTCTATCTGCCAAAAGATTCTCCTCTCGTGGAAGAAACTGAGTCACCACCTTCCAGTCCCTCTGCAATATGTCTCTGACTTCTAAGATCAGCTTCAGGTCTTCCTGGAGGTCCGAAGGTTCGGTCTGAAAGAGCGCTAAGGCTTCTTGAGAATCACTGCTTAGCCTGATATTTCTGAAGCCACAGTCCCAAGCTCTCTTCAGGCCTAAAAGACAGCCCCATATCTCTGCAGAAAGAGCGTCACCCATTGGTAATTTAAATTGAAAGCCTTCAATGATCTTCCCATTGCTATCTTTAAGGACTCCTCCACAAGTAGCACTTTGGTTCATAAAAGAGAAAGCTCCATCCACTTCGACATACGCTTCATAACCAGAAATCGCAATACTGTCCAGATTAGCAGATTTAGAGGAGTTACTAAGATGCGCTCCTCTAACTTTGGCAATGGCTCTTATCATGCTACCCAGAATTGCTATGGCTCGAGCCACAAGGCTGGATGACTCCTGACCAGAATTATTGTGAACTCTATTATTTCTATCACACCAAATTAGCCAACATATAATGATAAATAACTCCTTCGACGCTCCTTGGGAAATACACGCATTACGTTTCATATTCAACTCAAACCATTCCTTAGACTGTGCTGAGAAGAAATGATTCTGGGAGGAGGGCTTAATTATGGATTTCCACATTTGTTTGATGTCGTGACAGTCTCTAAGGGCATGTAAGCCATCTTCCACATCCGAGTTGCATCTATCACAGAAGCCTATAGGGCGAAGGTTCATTTTCTGCTTCTGGGCATTGGTTGTAAGTCTTCCGTGTAACATTATCCATGCAAAAAATTTGCATCTTTGGGGAATTTTAAGTTTCCAAATATCCCTCCATCTGCCAAGGGCATTCGACAGGATGGTATTAAGAGATTGATAAGCAGAACGGACTGTGAATTTACCACTTTTCTCCCACTTCCACCTAGCTTGAATCTTGCCGTGTCAATCTGGAACCTGTTGAATGCCTTCCTCTACCTTGCTCCAGTTCTGTTTTATGCCGTTCCAACTTCCAAGTATTAGAACCTGGTTTTTTCAAATTGACTTTTGGTAGAAGGCCGTTGCCACACTCATACTTTCCCCTAATAACTTTAACCCAAAGCGAACAGCGATCATTCACGAGACCCCATCCAAGTTTCATTATAAAAGCTTTATTTTTTTGCTTGATATGCCTCATCCCCAGTCCTCCAAGTCTTTTTTCGTGACAAACTGTTTCCCAAGAAACAGAGTGCAGCTTCCTTTTCTCCTCAGTGGAGCCCCACAAAAATTCTCGGGCCTTCCTCTCAATAGCATCACAAGTAGTAACTGGGATGTTCGCTGTTTGCATAGAATAATTCGGCATGGCTGAAATAACGAATTTAACAAGAGTATCCCGTCCAGCAAGCGAAATACAAGAAGCGTTCCAGTTGCTCAATCTATCTCGTACTTTATCAATCACATAATTATAAGTGCCTGGGTTTACTTTCTCATGATGAAGAGGTACTCCAAGATATTTGCCCAAATTTGCAATGCTTGCAAAGCCTAAGGCCTCACTCATCTAATTAACTCGAGTGTGGTTGATGTTGCGAGAAAAGAAGACCTTGGTCTTGGAAGTGTTGATCTTTTGTCCTGACATTCTGCAGAATATATCTAGACAGCTTTTTAAAATAAGCACTTGCTCCATGCCAGCTTCTGCAAACAATAACAAATCGTCAGCGAAAAAGAGATGGGATATAGGAGGTCCTTTCTTACCAAGACAAATAGGTCGCCAACGTTTAGCCATAACCTCTTTTTGAATTAAAAGGGCGAGTTTTTCCATGCAAATAACAAACAGATATAGGGATAAAGGGTCTCTCTATCTCAAACCACGGGATGGCAAGAAGCTTTCTACTTTACTTCCTTCCCAAAGGATCTGTATGGACGAGGAACTAATGCAAGCCCGAATGACCTCACTAATTTCTGTAGGAATTTGAAGCTCCTCAATACATTGCATGACAAAAATCCCATCGGACTCGATCATAAGCTTTTTCTAAATCGATCTTAATCGCCATAAAACCTTTCTTGCCAGTCATATTTCTCATAGAGTGTATGACTTCCTGAGCTATAATGATATTATCCGAGCTTGTTCTGCCAGGTACAAAATTGCATTGGTTGGGAGAAATTACCTGCGGAAGAAGGCATTTAATACGATTAGATATAACTTTCGTAATGGCTTTATAAATAACATTACAAAGACTAATAGGTCGGAAATCACGTATAGTTTCAGGAAACTCCCTTTTTGGAATCAAAACCAAGAAAGTATGATTAATGTCTTGAATACTGCGAGGATCCTCGAAAGCTTTCCTAACCACACGAGTAATTGAAGGGCCCAAAATCTCCCATTGACTTTGAAAGAACAAAGCATTTAGACCATCAGGACCAGGTGATTTAAGAGCTCCCATGCTAAAAATAGCAGAACGTATCTCGTCACTTGAAACCTCCTTTCTCATATCTTCTTTCCACACGTCGTTAATCAAGGTAAAGGAGCAACCATTGAACGTTGAAATGGGGCACACTTCATCCTCCTCAAATAGACCTCTGAAGAAATTAGTAGCTAAAGCTTTTATCTCTGCTTTGTCATCAATCCATTCATTCAAATCATTCTTGATTGCTTCTATTTTATTCTTGTGCTTCCTACCATTCGCACGGGCATGAAAATATTTTGTGTTCTTGTCTCCCAACGAGTACCAACTACATTTGGCTTTCTGTGCCCACATGAGTTCTTCCTTGATCAGGACCTCCTCTAACTCCAACCAGAGCTTCGTTTGGAGTTGTTCAATAGAAGAGGGAAGGCTTGAATGATTGTACTATCTGTTGATACCTTCGAGTCTACCCATTAGCCGACTCTTGAGCTTTCCCAAATGTCCAAAGACATTATGACTCCAAAAGCCCACTTGCGACGTAAAATTCTCAACATTATCTTTTCAGCAGACATTCACATCCCAGTTATCTTTAATCAATCTGGAGAAATCCTTGTGGATAACCCATGAAGCTAAGACTCGAAAGGGACGTTCAATTTTTTGCCTGGGAGTGACTAAGGACAAGTTAAACAAGATGGGTCTATGATCTTATTTAAACCAAGGTAAGTGCTTGATGGAGGCATCAGTGTATCTCTCCTTAAACATATTATTAGCCACCACTTGATCAATACGACTTTCCACACCTTCCCCGTGCCAAGTAAAATAAGGGCCAACACATTCTAAGTCATTAAGCTGCAAATTTTCAAACCATCTGACAAAATCTCTATCCACTGAGATGGGATTATTCGCGTTCGATCTACGATCTCGATGGTAAAGAGTTGCGTTAAAATCTCCTCCAACAATCCATGGCCAGTCTTCAGTTGGTTGAATATCTGAGATCTCTTCCCAAAGTTGTCTTCTACAATTTACATTTGTGCTAGCATATACTGAAGTAATAAATAACTTCTCATTGCCTTTTTCTGCTAGCACGTGGATAAATTGATTAGATTTTTTAACTATAGAGATGTTGAAGCCCACGTCATCCCAAGCAATCCAAATGCCACCATGTAATCCGTCTGAGTCGACAATCTCACAATTATTGAAGCCTAGTTTCTTGCAACGATTCTGTGCCATAGATCCGCTGCATTTCATTTCAAAAAGAGCCATAAAATTGATGGAGTAACGTTTTTTAATCTCCTTTATGAGACCCGTGAAGGATTTTGATCTTGTTCCTCTGCTATTCCAAAACAGACAAATCATGAGGTACCAACTATAGGGGAGACAGTGCTTATAGGTCCCCTTAATTCAAAAATATTATCTTGTGAGTGAGAATGTGAAGATGGGTTCATGTAAGTAGAGTCTTGAGGAGTGGCACCATGCATCTCGAGGGCCATAGAGTTAGCTGGAGCATCAAGAGAGCAGTCCATTTCAGCGTTTTCATTTACCATTGGGCTTGCATTCTGTTGTTTAGACAATATTATTTCCATTGACCCATTACTAGGTTCTGAGGATAGGACTTGAAAAGGATTGGGTGAGTTTAAAAAGTTTGATTTACCATCATGGGCTATCTGTAAGGAAGGCCCAGCTTTGGAAAAACTAATTCTCTTGCTTTTCTCCTTACCCTTAAGCCTCCGATCTCCCTTATTCTGACTTCCCTTTGTCACCGGGACCCACATCTTTTGATTACTTTGTTCCTTGCTAAGTATAACAGCAAAATTGTGCTTCTTCTCCTTGATTGTTGCCTCTGAAATCCCGGTAGCCTCATTAATACTAACGTCTCTTTCTCGTGAAATCTTCACTTCTCTCTTCTCTTGCGTGATCTTCACGATACTCTGATTCTGATCTCCTGGTTTCCCGGACATTCTTGGTTTGCTTCGCCTTGTGCGTTGAACGAGGTTCCAGACTCCAAAGCCCTCCGTTTGTGGTTGACCGCTGACGGCCTCCGATGTTACACCGACATTCGCTTCTCTGGTTCGTTTTCCGCCTTGGTGTTCAACCTCCTGTTCGGCACTAGCTTCTTTAATTGCCTCAATGGTCTCTATCATAGGAGTGGTGCCCTTTGGTTGATGCTCCTCCTGTTCCTTTGCCGTATTCTGATTAGTAGTTTTCTCAGGGCAGGAGTCTTTATGGTGGCCATATTTGCCACAGCAGAAGCAGATCAGGCGCAATCCCTCGTATTCGACACATCGACGTCTCCCAAAGATGTTAACAGCTGACTTCAGACGTTTTTTAATATCTATTTCTACACATATCCAAGCATACTTACCTCTTTTGCTTTCATAGGTGACCCGATCAATTTTCAGAGCTCGTCCAATCAGAGAACCAATCATCTTTAAGCTTTCAGCATTAAAGAATTCTAACGGTAGTAAAGGTATCCTGATCCATACTGCTATCTTCTTTTGCAGATCGGCACTCCATGGATCAAAGTTTGGTTGCCAACGTTGGACAACGAGGTACTTGTCCGACACCATCCACGGACCTTCCTGATAGATACGATTCAAATCCTCCTTGTCTTCAAAAGAGACCACAAAATAACCATTATCGATATCTCTAGTAGTGAAGGCTTTGGTCGTTTTCCACATCCACTTTAGGCTGTTCTTCATGACCCATAGCGGGACTAATTTCCCAAGCAACTTCACAATCAGTGACTTTCTCCAAGAAGCACACCATCTCTCGTAGTCCGCTCTCGACACCTTCAGTGTTGGACAGTCCTCATCGTCATCAGCATCCACATCCTCAGTATCATCTCTTACCCCATCCATGTTTTCCTTACTGAAATAACCTTGCAGACCATCAATATATTCAGCCCAAGCTTCATCGAAGACACTGGCGCCTTTCCTGTCTCTTGACACCTGATCTGAAGAGGTACCCAGAAGAGTGGCTTTAAAAGATTTAGACGTTTCCTACGTAGGCTCATCTTTCTCTTTTCCATCTGTGTCTGCCGGCGACAGATGTTTTACTTTCTTTCTCGTTCTTTTTGCCTTCTCGCCGTCGCCTGTTCCTTCCCCTCCGTCGGTGCGTTCGCTCTCAGCCATGTCTTATTCTCTCCTAGTTTATTCTACGCTAATTTGTTTCTTAAACGAGTGGTGAGGTTTAAGTGAAGGTAGAGATGGGAACACGTTTCTGATCGAATTTCATATAAAAAAAAGCTTATCAATGTTTTATAGAAAATTCTCTTAAGCTTGTGGAAAGTTGGAGGCCTTGAATTTATCATGGATGCAATTTACTCAGGTACTAGTATGAGTACATTACAAATATTTTAAGAAAAAATTAATTTGGAGGTTCTTATAATTTTCCTCAATTTTGGATTAGTTCTTTATACTTTTTCTCTTTTTATTGAGTCGTTTAGCTTTGATCTATTAGATCTGTGTTAGTTCTTACCGTTAAAAAAATGCTAACGCCGTTAAAAACTTCGGTTAAGGAACCACTAACTCATGCCTAGAATATTCCTTTTCTTCTTCACCCACGTCTCCCGGGACGACCTTCGCTCATTCCTCAGCACCTTTCTTGACCATCCGACTTCCGAAGTGATCGGTTGATCACTGATCAGGAGGCCTTCCATTAATTCCCATGTATTGATGGTTTTTGGTTCTACTTAAGGCCTGCTTGCCAAAGCTGGGAAGAGCCTTTGTCCAACAGCTTTCTTCTCACTAATTGTACTATACTCTCTAGAATGGGCTGTATCATATCATCAGTTTCATATATGCTTCACATGTTTCAACTATGGAAGTTGATTGGGTGTGACAGTTTCTGGATTGCACTCTGCTAATGAATATCCTTTTTTGTGGTTTTCATCATTTCACTACATGTCATCGCTGCATTTGACAATCCTCCCAGTCATTTTGGCAGCCAAAGTTCAGATTTTTTGTGATCATGGGTTGTGCTAGTTCCAAGGAAAAGCGATGTAGCCATTGCAATTTGCAAGGTGTCTTATTGCCCTGTTCTGAGAAGCTATTCAGTGCACGTCCGTCACCCACCTCAAACAAAAGACGATAGCCATCATGTCGTAGGGCTGAGGCTGACCTCAACTACATTTGGATCACTCGAGCTTGGTTTGAGTCAGAAGGCTTTTTGCTATGATCTCGCAGTGCTTCCTTAACCGAAGTTTTTAGCGGCATTAGTATTTTTATAACGGTAAGGACTAACATATGTAACAGAGAAAATTAAAGGACCCAATAAAGAGAGAATTAATTTTACTTCGGGTTATTGGGAATACGATATTGGTGATTATTTATGAGTTTGGTGGAAAGGGATATTCTTGTAATTTAACGTTTAAGCAGGAGGAAGTTAGAGTTCAATTCTGCTTTTACCATTGTGATGGCATGAATTGGACATCATCTGGCCCTTAATGTGACTAAAGAGCAGGAAATTCGGTTAAGATCCCCACTAACTTGCTATTTGCGTTCATAAGAAGCACTAGAACTCTTTCGACAAATCCACGACGTAAGAAAATTAGTCATTGTTATTAGCAGTAGATAGTCGGGTTTAATAAAACAAAGACAATTGATTAATTAAGAGTATTATCCATTTGAAAGAAACATGATATGAATCTTCAGGGAACTTACAAAATACATAATAAAAACTTGAAAACTAAGTTACAACTAAATCAAATTTACAAATACCAAAATATTAATTTTTCCTAAATAATATTCTTGATATTCCTATTTGACAACTTAGATATCTAAAAATAATATATCCAATAAATTTTACAAGATAATGCAATTAATGAATATTTTTATCTCTCTTTTTTCTTAAATCACCTGTGATAGTGATTAACTAGCAGTTGGAAACTGATGACGAACGATAGCTAAGTTCTGATGACATATTATAAAAGTTTTGCTATAAATAACCAATGGAAGCTAATGAGTTACTAAATTACACTTGTTAATTTTTAAACCTATCTTATGATTAAAATAGCAACAGATATTCTTTTGGAGAGTGTAATGTTATTGCAAAAAATTTGTTGTGAATTAACTAATAAGGACTTGTGAATTATTAAAATGAACTTGTTAATTATAACCCTTTCTCGTAGTTAAACAACAACAAAGGTTTATAGTATCAGTCCATTGTAAGAGGACTGAGTCGTGGCTAAAGCTAGATACAATAGTTGCGATGAGGTCTGAATACGAAGAGGGCAATTTTATTATAAAAGTTTTGTTAAGAATAGTTAATGGAGTTTTGTGAATTGCTAAATTAGACTGGTTCATTTAATCACAAGATAGACTTGTACATAAACAAGTTCCATTTAGGAATTCACATTAGCGCGATAATGCTTTTTCTATAAGATTGAACTTTTCAATTAATTTTTTTTATATTCCATCATGAGACAATCTTAGAAGTTAACAAGTTTAATTTAGGACTTCACAAAGTTTCCTGTGAGAAAACTTTTGCAGTAGAGCTGTAGCTCTGTTCACTATCTGTCACCAAGGCTTATACCATTTTCGCCAGCCCCCACCCACGGCTGGCAAGGGTGGCCGCCCCTCAGCAAGTTGATTTTTTTTTTTAAAAAAAAAATGGAGTGGTTTTGGGGGAAAAAAATGAGGAGGCCATGCGCAATATTTAAAAATCTCAAATTGGATCTGTAATCCAATTAGAAATTTATTGAATTTATCAACCTAATTAATAATCACATATAGTCTGTAAGAATTAAGAATCTTAGTTTTTGCATGCCACATTTGTCACCCCTTATTACATCAATGCTATGTAAGATATACTCTTCTGGTCCTATTTATAAGATAGAGAATAAGATTTTTTTTTTGTCCTATTTATAATCATTGAAAGAAATTTTTTTATATGAATGTACAATTTTATTCTTTATTTATTATTGTATTGATTTTGTTTACATGAAATATAATATATATTAAATAAGGATAAAATTAGAAAATTGTTAAATTTTAAATGAAAGTTAATAAAATTTAAAGTTTTTCTTAGTCTGTGTAAAACATGTTGAAAGTTATTTATAAATAGGACTTCAGGAGTAAGATGGCTTTTGTAAGAACTAATCAATGATTTGGGGGAAAAAATCAGATAACCAACTTTTTATTATTATCACGAAATTTTAAGAATTCAATATTTAAATCTTATTTAGAATTTAACAGTAAATTAGTATGTATTAAAAAAAGAGAAAATTATAATAAAATTTTAAGAAAAGAAAAATTTATAAAATAAGTCTTAGAAATTAATATTTTCTATCCTGAAACTTGTTATTACATGTTGTTTAAATTGTTATTAAAAATTTTTAGTAATTATTTTTTTCTTGAAACTTGATTATAATTTTCTTTTTGAAAAATGTATGTATTTTGGGCCAGTTAAAAAAAGTACGTAGAAGTTTTACAAAAAAATATATATTTACACAGTAGGACATAAAAACTAATTTCATTTCTATTACCAAGAAAACTAATTTCATTTTGCTATTCAAGAGCTTACAATCTAATTCCTAGCCGCCACGTGGAAAGTACTTCCCCACGGTGCGTCGACGATGACTAGAGGCGAAGTCAGTTCTCTCGAGTCTGATCTTTCGTTCTTCTACTTTTCTTCTCAAGCCTTGATCTTCTTTCTGGGTTTTGTCCATCAGACTTAAAACCCTAATTTGTTTTAGTCAGGTTCGCACTTCTTGCTTGTGTTCCTTCTTTCCATGTTCAATGTTCGATTTTTAATCTATTTTTTTGCTTTCTGTACAGTTCAAGTCGAATTAGGGTATTATCTCATCTAATCTCTTTTGTACTTCTTTGTAGTGCAGAAGGCTATCGGAATTTCAATATCCTGTAAGGGCAAACATGTGGAACCGACTCGTGGGTAAACCTAAAAAGGAAACGAATACTCTGACGACTTTGGACAAGTTAAATGAGGTGGGTTGGTTACGATTGTTGAAACATATTATTTTCTGTCTTTCCCTTGCTATGTTGTTGGTGAAACGATTCGGTTGTAAATTTTTATCTTTTGATGGTTTGTACTCTACATCGGCAGTGAACATGCAATTCACTTTTGCTGGTAAATTGGTTATGCAAGATTACTGCAATTACTTTTTTTACTGTTTGATATTAGGCTAGCTTTTGTTTTACTCTTCCCAGATTTATGAAGGTTTCATGCTAATTTAGTCCATTGTAATGAAATTTTGCTTAATCAACTTATGGTGATCGTCTAATTAATTTTCAAATTAGTAACATTATTATTAGAATTTTTCTTGCATTTCTTTTTAATTAGTACAAGGTCTTTTGTTATCCATTCATGCCTAGCAATGATTTTCTAGTCTTTGAATGATGTAGACACTTGAAATGCTAGAAAAAAAGGAGAATCTCCTTGCTAAAAAGGTTGCAGCAGAGGTCGAGAAGGCCAAAGAGTATACTAGACGGAAGAACAAAAGGGGTATGTTGCTGAATGCATGGATGCTTACTCGAGACAACTTTTCCATGTTCACTTCCTTTTAATCGCCATCTTTGCATACATTTCTGTTACCCTGTTGAGAGTTGGGCGCATATACAATGGTCAACATTTCACTTTGAGTCGGCCTAACAACAACACAGTTTTAGTTCATTTGTAATAGTTCCACCGGGAATAAAGGAAATGTTGTATGCGTTATTATTTGTATGCGTTAACACAATTGCATATAGTCGAAACTCTGCACATAGTGAGACGGCTGTTTGTCTCCATGGTCTTACGCTCAAATGCTTTAATCTTATTGTGTGATATTTGGTGCTGGAGGGCTATGGTGTGTGGAGTGTAAGCTTGCACGCTAATCTGCAGCAATTGCTTTCTTGACTTAGACATGTGAAAATGGTTTTTGATTTAATGTGTTAGTGTACAATCTGGCCTCTGCACCATAGTTTCATCATTTCTATGGATAAGCTTAACACATGCACTACACACAAACATTTAAATACCCACTAATCGGATTTTTGTAGTCCATGGGTTCTGAGTGTCTGCTTAATGCAGCTGCAATACAATGTTTGAAGAAGAAGAGGCTATATGAACAGCAAATAGAGCAGCTTGGAAATTTCCAGCTGCGTATTCATGATCAGGTCTGAATGTGACTTCATAGTTAGCATGAGTTCTGGCCATAATTGAGTTTGTTTTTGTTGAGCTTCTGTTTCACATTATGCTGGTAAATTATGTTACAGATGATAATGTTGGAGGGTGCTAAGGCCACCACAGAAACAGTAGATGCTTTGAGAACTGGAGCATCTGCAATGAAGGCTATGCAGAAGGCAACGTATGCAGTGCTAATTTTTGCCATGGCATATATAGTGATTTCATTTTCAGTTTTAAAGTGTTTTCTGATATTCTATTTGGCTCAGGTTGGCCTGTTTCAAAACCTGAAAATTTCACTATTGCAGAAAGCTTTTATCATTGCTGTTGTTTCATGCTTTGGCTCCTTTACTCCCTCCATTTTCAAATTATAAGATGGTTTTAACCAATTTACAAAGACCAATAAGGGTAGTTAAAGGTAGCTTGATAACTTTTTTTTTTTTTTGGGGGGGGGGAGGCGGGAAAGAGGAGTAACATTACAATAATACCCTTGATTCATACTAACCTCTATCTCTGTTTGCTAAAACGAAGTTATGAAGGCCTTTTTGGAAAACAATCATAAAGGCTTCATTGTTTGTCATAAAATGTTTTGAAACACAAAAACCTTCCAGACTATGTCTTTTAATTTGAAACTGAGGGAGTACTAGCAGGCAGGTTATGAACTGATGCCGTTGTCTATTCAATATTGTTGTGCAGGAATATTGATGATGTTGATAAGACCATGGATGAAATCAATGAACAGACTGAGAACATGAAACAAATTCAAGAAGCTTTGGCAACTCCAATTGGCGCATCTGCTGATTTTGATGAGGTTGTGTTCGGTCAGCTGCAACTTGCAAACAAAATATTCTTCTTCTGATTATATTGTAGTGTTACTGTCTCATCAAAACCAGCATATAATTTGTGGGACATTTTGAATTCTTGTCGTTTCAGGACGAATTGGAAGCAGAACTTGAAGAGCTTGAGGGTGCTGAGTTGGAAGAACAGCTTCTGCAGCCGGCAACTACAGCTCCAGCAGCCCCAGTGCAGGTCCCAGCTGGGCGGCAGCCTGCTCGGCCCGCACCTCCACAGAAGCAAACTGCTGAGGAAGATGAACTGGCTGCTTTGCAGGCTGAGATGGCACTTTAAGCGGGTCCCCTCTGGTTTATTTTACCGGGGTTAGATTAGCGTTGCAACTAATATGGAAATTTGGAAGACCTGCGTCCAAGCCATCTTACTTTCATGTTTTATATCACTTGGGGAAATCGCTTGTACATCATAGTATGAATAAGATTGCTTATTCTGAAAAATGTTGGGATCTTATTGCACGCAGTCGATCTTATTGATGGTGCTAGAATTTTGCATCCATTATTGTGCATTATTATGTGCAGGCGATTGGGGAGTACTTATTGTGAACTTACTTAAAAAGAAATAGAGGATGTTTTCTAACTTGGCAAAAAATTGAACAGGGAAATCTTGTTTTGAAGCTTGCAATCTACTTTTCGCCTGAACCGGGTTGTCAACTTGTTATTTGCCAACAGGTTTTCAACCTATTGAATGTTGCTTTCTTTGAAATGAAAATGTTGTATGTTTGTTCAATGAGCTGTCCTATATAAATGTATGTAACTAAACCCTGGGGGATTTAGGGTCATCTTTTAGTACTCTTTTTTTTTTTTTAAACAATTTACCCGGTATCCAATTTTAAATTGGACGATTGTGGTGTGGCGTCTTGAAAAGCAGTATCATGGTGAACGTTACATCCAAGAAGATTTGACTCAAGAAAAAAAAAAATTTTAAAAAAACTTCCAACAATTTACAATACAAGTGAAATGCAAAAGCATGGAAAGAAAAATTTTGGAAAAATAATATTAAAAAATGGCCAATAGATCCATTGAGGCCATAGTTATTTTATTATTTGTAATTTTGTATTATTAAAACAAACAAGAGCTGCAGATTAACGTAAGAGAAAATTAAATTTATCTTGTAAACAAAGGAGGGAAAACTCCTTTGAGCATTGGAATTTTGACCAGTTATTAATAACTTCATTTGGACTACTAAGTTTGGGTCATCTGTTTTACTTTTCAAAAAGATGGGGCATTCCACCTGTCAAGGGAAAGTGGTAAATATGAAGAAGATATCTATAACAGAAGTTGCTCTCCTCCCAACTCTTTTGGTTGGAACTTTCAATTTCATTCCAAACAAAAAAAGAAATTTGATAATGCAAGGATACAATATTAGGGAATTTATTCTAAGGACAAAACATTTAAGGTATATACAAAATAAATAAAGATTAAAATCCTATAATATATTACAAACTCTTAAATAACTTTTTTTATAGATAAAATACGAACTCTTAAATAATTTACTTGTACTGCCCTTGATTTGTTTAGAAAACAAGCTTGCACTTTCACATTAATTTAGCATTTACCTTGAACTAGATTTGTAGTTGAGATGATTGCATTTTTTTTTTTAAAAAAAAGAACACAATACGTAGATCAAATTTTTCGTATCTATTATATGTCAAGTTCTTTTATCATACACGACTGTGTGTGCTATTTTTTAAATATTATTATTTAATTATAAATCAACTTGAATAAAATAGCCTACATGACTATATGTGATTAAGAAAACACACACGACCATTTGTGATTAGAAAACTTAATATAATAAACATAAAAAACTTGACCTAAGTATTTTCCTTTAAAAAATTTTGAAGTTTTTCTCTTAATATATATGATATAACACTGTAACTACCACTAAAAACCAAGCATTCCTTTCAACTTTGTTATGTTTGAAACAATGCAACAACGCTTGCTCCAAATATCACTAACTGCTTTTAGTTATCATGGCAATAGGACTCATAGTGTTTATGACTGTGTTGAGGCTTATACTATTTAAATACAGTTTTAATGATCTAAATTTAAAATTTTTAACTAATAATTCTCAGGTAAAAATTATTTTTTTTAACAAACTTACGAATAAGTGATTGTCTTTTAAATTCTATACACTCTAAAATATTTTTAAAAAAATTAAAATTAGAAAATTAATTTTAACCATTCAAATTAGTCTAAGCAGTCCAAAGTGGGGATGAGCTCCTCATGAGCATTTAAATTCATTCCACCTAGGTACAATAATCCTCTTCCTCGTAATCTTGGTCTTAAAATAGTTGATGATAATGACAATGGCTATTTATAGAAGATATGTTCTCTCTCTGTCTCTCTCCCTCTCTCGTGTGCATATATACATATAATTTATAGAAAATCAATTTTTTATAGCTTATAAACAGCATGTTTACATTAAAATTTATGACATGCACAGAATCCATAGCTAGATAAATTTAAGTTAGGCCGGCAAAAAAAGATAAATTTAAGTTAGTTTTGGATGAATAGTAATATACATGAATCTAGTCTATCATATGGCATTTAAATAATAGACCCAATTATTTAAGACTTTTTTTTTTAACACGCATAAGGAGAGGTTGAGTCTTAAATTTTGTCAATATTCCACCCTATTTGTTCACATCATCTAGTGTGGAAATGGCTTTATTTCCAACTTTCTTTTTTTAAATTCAAAGCCTTTTCAAATCATTTTAAATTTGAGATTAATTTTTGTCAAACCAGGAGCATTAAAAACTTTTAAGGAGGAGAACACAAGTTCAAATCATGAGAAGAGCACTTGTTAAGAGAGTTTTAATATTAACACTCTCAACTTGTTAGAACTTAGGTTGCGTTTGGTAGGAAGCATTGGAAATAAAGGATTGAGATTGGAATTACAATTGAGAAAATCTATTAAGAAAGTATTTAGTATAAGAGATTGTTTGATTATGGGATTAGCCAAAACCATGTCTGTGGGATTGGAGAATACCATGGGAGGAAGTGGTATTCCCCAATTCCACCTTTATGAGTTTGCCTAATCCCATATAACAAACAATTACTCATGCTAAGTACTATTTTAATGATTTTTTTCAATTGTAATTCCAATTCCAATCCCTCATTTTCAATGTTTCATATTAAACGGGACCTTAGGGTCAAATCCAAAATGACTTGATGATACATTGAAGAATAAACAAACAAAAAACCAACGATTTGTATTGAGCTGAGGGATGCATGACACGTGTAGGGATGTGATTGTCCCCACTCAGGACTGCATCCAATGAACCACTGATTAATTGTTCCAATGGCGGCCCCCATATACATCATTCCAACGTTCACTTCTCCTTTTTTGACCCAAAAAAAAAAAACAGAAACATGCAACAAATACTTTTCAATTCTTAATATATGCTTAAGCCGATACTTTTGAAGGATTCAAATAATTTAATATGAGCAATTTGTAAAGATGAACTAGTTTGGTTAATTTTCGAAGTGCGTGGTTTTTTTTTTTCAAATTAAGTGGCTATGCAATGTGTATTGTATGTAGAATTTCAGAGTTTGTTAATACTGCGGCTTCTTTTAGATTTTGGTTTTTATATTAATCAATATACATACACATAAGACAGCATATATGAACAAAAATAGATATTTATTCTGTGCATGGGACAAATAATGGCTTAATGAAATATTTATGACTGAAAATTATATTAACTTGAAGGTAAAAATTTCAAAATTTAATTTTAAATAGTACTAACAATTAGAGAGACGAAATATAAATAAGAATAATGATTGAAAAGAGAGATATAAAAACTTGGTACAACTTGCATATAGTTCATACTAATTACTTTTTTATATAATATCTACACAAAGATGTTAACACCAGATTCAATGACGAGTGACATTGTCACTAAAACAGCTAGCCGTTGACATTGTTCATGCTAATTATGATATACAAAGAAATTTCATAAATCATATGATTTCTTAATTAGTATGAACTATGAAACAAAAAGAAATCATACGGTTTATAAATTATAAGAAATATATTTCTTGTAAAATTTAATATAGATATATTGAATTATTGATGATAAGGTCCACCTAGCATACAATATAAAGGAAGGCCAACTAGGATATAAAATAAAAGATTAAAAGTCAAGATAGAAACAACAAGAACAGTAAGTTTGATTAAAATGATTATTATAAAATTCACGTTTTAAATAATGGAAAACCCTGTGCCCAGATCCCTTGCCTGGAGCAGCAATTGCTTACAATGGTCAGTGAGGCTGGATAGATCCCACCAATATTCCACCATACCAACTTGCTTCTAATAAATTAATAATCCCAATATTCACTCCCATGCCTTCATCTAATCAATAACATCAATATATGTAAAATTAATAATAAAGTACGCTATTTAAAAATTATAAAACCAACAATGCTATGTGAGAGCAAGTATTGAGTTTTAAGTGGAGAAGAATATCAGATTGAAGTAACAGGGATGAAAATGTTGAGGTAGGCGAGTAGTCACCATCTATAAAAAATAATTGACATGGTGTCTATACAAAAAACAAAACAAATAGTTAGAGGTGTCAATGAAGAGGATATATCAAGCACGGCAGAATCCTCTATAAAAAAAGTGGTAGAACTTGATAATTTATCTAAATATTTGATTCATTTTCAGTACTTGAAATTTGATATTAATCCATGAAATTTGAAATCAATAATTTTGGTTCTTGAAACTGTATTATTATAGAAACCAAAAATCTCTAGACATGCCAAAATACGGTCAATTAGTCAAGTTTCAGGTACCAAAATAATTAGTTTCAAATTTTCTGAATCAAAACCGAAAAATCATGTCAAACGTGGATTTAAAATGATGTTGACCCTATGAGGAAAGTACAATGAATGAGAATTGCATTTTTGGTTGATGTTGGATATAATTTCAAATTTCCAACTCTAAATTAACTAACAGTTTTCATGCTAAGCGCTAATAATTCTGTCACGCCGGGCCAGGATTCTCTACTTTTTGAGTTTTTGACTTTTCTCCAACGCTGGCTGGATTTGACAATGTGGCTATAACTTTCTTGATTCACCAGCGTAATCCTTCAATTCGTTTGATTGAAGATGTTAATTTCAAAGAGACTCTTCGTCTTCCTCATGCTCTATCTTGCTCTTACAATTTTAGCTCACGGACAGCAACAAAGAGGTTAGCATTTGCTTGTAAGCAATAAGCAATGTAAAAATGGAATACTGCAATTCAGATTGTTTTTTCCCCTTGTTTTCAACTTAAAATTATAAACTTATCATCTGAAATATTCAATTTAAGCTATGCTTTGATTTCCCTTAAAATTGTAATCAGTCTCTGTTCTTCCTTGCAATTCCATTTTTTACTGTCGAAGCTTCGCGTGTTTGAGCTTCCCCAGAAAATTGCCAATTCCATGGTTTCATGGGTTTTTTCTCAAGTCTCAGAATCAATTGAAAGCTAATGGATTTTACAAATTTTAGCATAATCTGTGGCCGTAAGTGTAAACTGTTAATATCTTGGCTTTTTCACGAGTCTGATGGGTCTTTCTGGTCAGGTTTTGTAAGCATTGA